CCCCAAAACCCCAAAACCCCAAAACCCCATAAGAAAAAATTAAATTTTTCTGTATTTTGAGAAATCAAATAAATCTTATTTACTAATAAAACTTACCTTACAAAAATGGAAAGAAACGAGGCATATTAAAATTACTTTGATCTAGTCGATAGGTAATTAGGTGCACCTAAAGCTGATAAACCTAAAAAGGTTATTATTGACACAGATCCTGGTGGTGATGATGCTCAAGCTATCGTTTTAGCTCTTCATTTGGCTTAAAAGATGAATGTAGAAATACTTGGATTGACTGTAATGGCAGGAAACGGTACATTAGAAGATGTCACATTAAATGCCCAGCTTATCCTTGATGCATGCAAGAATAATGAAATTCCTATTTATAGAGGGGAAAAAGATTACCTCCATCCTTATGAATACGAACATCCACACTATGGTCCTGATGGATTCGGCGGGTTTCAACTATCATAGAAAGATAGAATTGTTTTGAAAAATGTGAGAGAAAAATCAGCTGTTGATTTCCTTGTAGAATCTGCAAACTAACATCCTGGTGAAATAACCTTGATTTGCTTAGCACCTTTAACTAATATTGCAGTGGCTCTAAATAAAGATCCATCAATAGGAAACAAATTTAAGAATATTGTGATATTGGGTGGGTCGTATCTTGCTCATGGGAACACAAAGTATAACTGTTCAGAATTCAACTTTTTGAAAGATCCTGAAGCCGCCAATATCTTATTTGAAAGGTGCGAAAACATTACAATGGTGCCAATTGAAGTATCAAGATCATTTAGACTTTTATCCTAAGATTATGTCAGCAAGCCCTTCTTAAGTAGAACAGATAAAGGTGTCTTAGTGCTGAAATCTTTTGAAATCGCATTTCATAACTCAGGTCAGTATTATGATATTGTAGATCCTTGCGCGATTGCCGTGGCTTTCTGTCCAGAAGTAGTCACAGAATTCTACGAGAAGCCTATTTTTATTGAAACAGAGGGAAAGTACACCAGAGGAATGGTAGTAATTAATTGGATAGGCAGAGGATATGAACAAAGACACAATAGCACAATAGTGTCTGCATTGAACCTAAATGCAGTTGTTGAAATGCTTATCGAATCAGTACAGGAATGATTAGGATATCAGAAAATTAATACAATTAAATTTGAAATAAATTCTTAAATTTGCAAAAAATATGGTGCAATAAGGGGTTTTGGGGTTTTGGGGTTTTGGGG